GATCTGGATATCAACTTCGTTATAAGCTTATAATGAATTTTTTAAAGAATTTAATTGGCTAGTTCACTATAATAAGGGTAATTTTAATATATTTGATTTAAAAATTCGCTATATCAAGGGTTCGCTATATTAAGGTTTGACTGTATCAAATGTGTCTCTCATATTAGGATTATTTGCCTTGAAATATCTATGCACTGCCATAACAATACCACCACACTTTACCTTTTCAATGAAGTTATGTATTGCCATTTCTGTAAATAGCTCAATTTTGACTTTGGTCATCTTGAGCATAGCATCCCAGAATAGAGAAAGTGTGGCTACATAATGGCTAGAATCGAGGCCATAATAATGCATAGATGTCTTTCTAAATGTTGTTCAGACATCTGCTAAACTAAGCACATCTATTTTAAGATAAAGATCATTATATTCTTCCAAGTTCTTACACCTAAATTCATTCCATATATATTGGGCATGATTATAATTTTCTTGTGAAATCTTACCTCCAAGAACACTATGAAACTCATAAATCAGAGGTAATTCTGTTTCCTTAAATCGGTCATGAGAGTCTATATACTCATGAAGAAAAATTCCTTTACAATATGCTAAAGAAATCTGTTCAGAAGAATAGCCTTGTTTCTTGAAATACTCAGTCGTAATTGGGTGGTTATCACCCAAATTATTTGTAAGAGAGGCCAAGCTAGAATTCATAAATTGCATACTATCAATATACTTAAGTTAACCTACCTTTATAAATTTGTATCACTCAAATGTTTCAGCAATAACAGTAATTCAAAGAGAATTACCTGAGCGTCTAACAGATTTACAGACCAAGTGAGAGTCATATTCCCAAAAGTTATGGAATATAATTGGGATTGGTGTCTTCCATAGCTCAATCTGAAGTTTAAGATTGCAAGTATTATGAGATGCTCTCAGAAATTACCTGTGATATGACAGTGATTCTAGATCTTTTTATCTCTAGCTTCTTTACTAGCAAGTTCAGCTTATACTTTAGAGTTTGAGAATTTATAGTCTTCAGGATTCTTAACAGCCTTTAGCAATTCTATATAGAGATTTTTGAGATCCTTTTCTGATTTAGCACTCTTTTCTATTTTCCAGATTCTCTTTGATATATTTCTGGGTGAATTTATCTTATTATGCGATTTAGGATCTTGAATAATTTCTGTAAGTTTGTCAGTGAGATTTGCAATTTTTCTTTCTAACCTATTAATCAATCTGTATCTATACTGAACTTGTCTTCACAGATCCAGCACCTACCTGCCTCTTTAAACCTTCTTTGGTAGTCATCTGTAATAATACGCTCATACTTAGCAGCTAAGACCTTATTTATTTCTACCAATTCTTGATCGATCATTTAAATGAATTCTTCTGTAGCATTTTCTTCGCGATATAAAAAGGGACCCAAGTTTCTCCAATATCAATCCAGTGGACTTTATAGCTAAAACTATTAGCTTCTTTCTCTGCTATCTTTCACATGTTTCCACCATAATGTATGTCACACTTCTTTTTTAATGACTTGAAATCTGCAAGAATAATACATGAGGCATTGATCTGACGCTTATAATTCCTAAACTCTTCAAAATTATTAACAACTTTTACAGGCATAATGACTCTTTGTGAGGCTTCACCTAATCTAAAACACTATTGCTAGTGATGGTCTAATGATTTTATAGATGGAAAACTTTGAAAGCATTGATTGCATAAATATTTCTTTTCTTTATGAAATGTATTCTTATTTACTAATCCATTTGGATTCTTAATCCAGAGAAAGTGATTTTTTTGCCCATACTTACCTTCCTCTGATTTGGTAATATCTGTAAGGGCCATAAGATAGATAATATGTTGCCTATTATAGTTTTTACTATAAAGAATAGGTTTAGGAGTATGTGTTTCTTCTTCCCACTTCTAGATATTTATGGAGATATCTGGATTTATTTCCTCAATCTTTTGAAATATTTGTGAACAAATTGGAGTAGGAATTGGAATTCCATCGAGTTTGATCACATCTAAATATGGTTTATATTTTGTAACTCGAAAGATTCGTTCAAGATAATCTATATATCCATCCTGATGGACGAATAATAACCTAAAGACCTTGAAGACATTTTTCAGAAGGCTTTTTCGTTTCTGGATCAATGAAACATTTATTATCTGGATTAATTGTACATTTTGTATTGGAGAGTTTTTTGGGAGTATTAATGTAAGAACCTCCAAAAGCTCAACGAAATATATATGACTCTATAAGTATCATTTCTAATTAGAAAAGGATTTTACCTGATTCTTCTTTCAAATATCTCTGATCTTTTGATCGATTTCTACACCAGATTGGGTTATATGCTCATTTATATATTGTTCTGAAAGAATTTCATGTTGGTAGCTTCGATGATATGGATGATGATATTTGGCAGTATAGTTTGCCAGATCTGAAGGATCATCTGATCCATTATATTTGTAAGATATATATGTAACATTTACGACTAATGCTGATTTTATTTGATCCCTTCTATGAAGTTATTCTTTGAGAACATTTGTAATTGCATTACGTGCGGATGCTATGAGGTGAGGCATATATAGTGCACCTGCATATTCTTTTGAATGTCTTGCTTTTTATTAAATGCATATGCTAGATTTTTACATGATGGAATAACCCCCTTTTATATAGTCATACAATTAAGAGAGCTATATTGTCTTGCAGGATCATGCTCTTTTTCCAAAAATATATCATCATTAGGTGGTTCATCTTCTTTGTAAATTCCTTCTGCTTCCTCATAAATTGACTGGAAATGCTTTTCCTTAGCATATTCTTGAGTGTTTTGTCGCTCAACTTCACTAGGTTCTTTCTCACCAATTAATTCCTTTATATATTTTTCATTAAACATCTCAATACTAAATAATAATTCTTCTTTGTAAGCTTGAGTTGATAGACCAGAACCTGTTTCAGAATCAGGAGTTTGGTTAATCACTTTTGGCTTTTCCTAGGCGTCTTATCGCTCAATCATGCTAGGTCTCTCCTTTTGATTCTCCTTTTGACTAGAAGTCTCAGGAGCTGAAGCTTGCTTTGGTATACATTGATTTTTATTACTTTTGTAATGCTGACAAAGTTTTTAAGGTGTAACAAAAATCTTATTACAGCAAATACATTTATGATTTTTTTTTTATCTTTTTTAATTATGATACTATAATAAGTCTATCCTCTAATATATGTGTAAACTTTTGCTCAATTTAAATTAATTAATCATGTATATCTAATATTCAATTAACTTTTTTTTATTTTAAAATTATGAGAAAATAGGGCTAAAAAGCGTAAACCTTACATAAAATCAGGATGTGGTAAGCTTACAGATCATCTTGTGATCGTTGTCATCTTCATACTAGAGGCTATTATATGATTTAATATATTAATAGACTTCATAATAAGATCCTGATGTTTGATATGTGTTCAAGAGGTTAGATCTTTCCTTATACCTTGGATACTACAGGAGATAGCTAACCCCTTTTACTTGTTTGATTGTTTATCCTATCAATTTATCTAAATAGCTTTTCTTTTTTTTAAATACAAATGAGAGAAAATAAGTTTAGATTTATTATATAGTTAGTTGAGATAATAGACTTTTTTTTGTAGTTAGATTTAACATATAGGTAATCTAAAGTATAATTTTTCTTGTCCTAGGATTTTATAAAGGAAATAACTTTAGAATACTTTCCTGTATGTTGATAAATTAATAATATGCTAGAACACAATCATTAAGCTTTTGATTTGCAAACAAGATTACTGCTATATCAAACCTCAAAGAGGTTAGACTTAACATATAATATACATTTTAAGCTTGCATGATCAGGTTCAGCTCAAATTGCGTTACTTTGTTTCTTGATTTTTGATGACCCTCTGAAAGCAAGCAGAATAGCATAAAAGTTATTATTTATATTGGGTTTGCAATGTCAGGTCCAGCTCAAATTATATCACTTCATTTTATGATTTTCTATGACCCCTCCAGAGGCAAACAGAATATAAAAATTTTTGATATATTAAAATTATGCTAGAATAGCTTTAACGAACTGGGTAATTCTTAATATCAAATAGGCTAATTCTTAATCAAGTTCGATATCATCATTTAGATTTAAGTCAAAATAGGCTAGAGACTTGAATTTAATAATTGATTCATATAGCTAAAATGGATTCATGGGCAGATAGGAATTATTTCTGAATACTATTTGGAATTTTATCATAGAATCCTTCTTTTTGCTGTAATAAGCGTTTTTCTATTACTTTGTGTGCAAATTTTGATGGATTATATAAATTGAAACCTTTGATAATTGGAAAATATGCAAGGCCATGATGATTTAAAAATGTTAACATTTACAATCTGCAAATAACTTATCAAAATAATACTAAGGCTTGGATGCTAACAACTCTTTTTCAAGAATGGCTCTAGTAGTTTGATTTAGAGGTTTCACAAAAGTATAGAGGCCAATCAGTTTTGTTATTTCTTGATAATTACTCAAGTTTTAAATAAAAGCTTAGATCTCCAAAACGTTAATGTTTGTTTCTTACCTGCAAATAAAACTTCAAAAATTCAACCAATAGATGCTAAAATTATTATGGCATTCAATAGAAATTATCATCAGCTTCATATCTGATGGATTTTAAAGTAAGTTGAAAGTGATAAGTGTGTACAAGATTTTTAAATAGACATTTTACAAGGAGCTCAGTATATTTTTCAAGCTTAAAATGAAGTTACAACTCAAATAATCTATAACTGCTGATGCAATACTAAGTTTCTTCCTATTAGTGATAATTCAAATATAGAAGATACTGAGGAAAACACTAAATAAACTAATGAATCATTGCTTAAAGAACTTTCTAAAGCACTTGAAGGTCTTAATTTTTCTAATATTATGCAAATAGAAGAATTTTTGACTATCTCTGAAAAGGATATTATTTATAAAGTTTCTAAAGAGGATCAAATAATTACAGAGCTTGTTGAAATATTAAAAAAAGATCTGATGAAGAGACTAGCAAAAATCCAGATATAGCAGATGATAGTGCTGAAATAGTAATTATAAGTTCAAGTGTTACATTAAAAAGTTTGAAGAATATACGCACATTTTTGCTTTAACAAGAAGATACAAGTGAATATATAAGATTATTGAGAAATTTATTAACATAAAAAAAATAAGTTAATGAAACAGTTTACTAGAAGCAATATTTTAGTCATGGTGAAACAGAAGGAGATTAATACATAATTATAGGAGTTTTCAACTCACTAATTCCAGCATTTGTTAGAATTAAATATGCTTTCTTTTTTTCTTATAAATAACTAAAAAAAAATATCTCCTTGCCCTTTTCCTTTATATTCGTATAATTCAGCTTCTGAGTTAGAATAAGCTGGTAGTTTTTAAACATATTTCGTTAATATTTATCAATATGTAACATGATGGCAAAAATTCTGTGATTGATCTATTGTAACTGCTGTTATGTCAGTTCATTTATTTTATTTATAAATGTTATATAAATGTAAATGTATATAAACTATAAATATGAAATATAAACTATGCTATTCTATCCTAATGCTAATTTTATCTTCTGATCTAACCTCTAAATCAAAACCAACCTTTTTACTGTCATTCAGTGATTTTTTTATATATGGTATGCCTTCAAAAATATATCAAAAAGAATCATTTTACAGATT